TAAAAAGCTGCCTATGTTTATAATTGGAAAAGCAGAAAAACCATGATATTTCAAAGAAGTCGAAAGCCTACTCATTACATGTCCCAAAATAAATCCTGAATGGACTCTAAAATCTTTACTGATTATGTAAGAAGGTTTGACAAGTTTGTTGAGAGTAGGAAATTTGCTATAACCTTAGATAATCGGTCGGCTCATCCTAGTGATAACAATCTCAAAGCAACTAAATTAGTATTTTTACCACCATACACAACCTCCAAAACTCAAATAATGGACCAGGGAGTCATAAGGCTTTTTATTGCACAAATGTTGTGAGATCAAATACATTGATGCTAGTAAAATAACCCTAAATATCAACATTCTTGAAGTTATAAGTATGTTGGTCAAATCATAGGATGCTATATCAACAAACACTTTAATGAATTGTTTTAGAAAGGCAGACATCTCACAAAAAATACAGGTTCCAAGTAAAAATAGTGAAGATGATTCTTTCGAATTACTTGAAGAGAATGTCAACGAGCTTAGATCACATGGTTTAGTAAACAAAGATTTTGCCGATAAAGATTACATAAACATAGAATTTGATATTTGTACAAGCCAAGCAACTCCCATCACAGATTGAGAAATTCTGGATTCCATTTTAATCAATGATTTAGATGATGGGATAGATGAAGAGTCAAGCGATTTGCCTACCGAAAAACCAAAATTATCAGAGATTGCACATGCAATAGAGTTAATTGAATGTTGGCCTCTTTTTATAAATAACTGCGTTGAAATCTGACAATCACCTGGTATAAAAGATGTTTGAGTTAGATAAAGGGATAGATGAAGAGTCAAGCGATTTGCCTATCGAAAAACCAAAATTATCAGAGATTGCACATGCAATAGACTTAATTGAATGTTGATCTCTTTTTATAAATAACGGCATTGAAATCTGACCATTGCCTGGTATAAAAGATGTTTGGTACCTGGTATAAAAGATGTTTGATAAACATTCATTAGAAGCAAAAAAGCAATCAAAAATGGCCATTTTTTAAAAAAATTTTTTAGATTTTTTATTTTTTTATTTTAAATTTGTTTATTTAGAAGGTAAAGACTTAGGTATCTTATTCTGAAGTTTTTTCTTCTTTTTTATTCTCTACTTCTGTTAAAATTTGATATATATATATATATATATATATATATATATATATATATATATATATATATATATATATATATATATATATATATATATATATATATATATATATATAAAATAATTTCCGTTTTAGATTCAGCATCTAATAAGTTCGAATTAAAACTTAAAGAAAGCATGTTCATAGAATGGTTAAAACCTGGTTTGAACAAACAAGTCAACAATGTTCAAATGACACTTTCTGTTTAGTTATTATTTTCTATGTAAAATTTTTATTAACCTATTTTTTCGTCACTTCCTATTCGTTATTTTAGCATGACTTGTTATTTTTATAGATTTTGTCGTATTTTTGTAAATAAATTAATAGTTTGTACATAGATAATTACATTTTGTATTGTTATTGTAAAAATCACCTATATAGGTATTTAAACAAATTTAAAAAGGAGCAACAAGTTGATAAAATAATTTCTTTAGTATTTTTATCTAAGTTTATATTCATCAACGAATTTCAAATTTCATGCAATAACCACTTAGTTTTTAGTTTTTACGACCCTACAAAGTTTATAGCCCCCTCAAATTGAGGGGGGTTAAAACTTTATATGGTCATAATTTTCGAAAAATAAGAAATTATTGGATGAAATTGGAAATTTGTTGATGATTATACTTAGATAAAAATACTAAAAAAATTATTTTATCAACTTGTTGCTCCCATGTTAAGGGCTGGGTGGGCCCAAAAATTGTTTTTTTTTTGTCCCCAAGCTCTTATCACCGCAACTCTTTGTAAAACATTCTCATTTGACATAAGCATGAACATACAAAAGTTTGGAGTTTGCACAATACCTGTAAGTGTCAAAACTCAAACATCTAAAAGTCCAGTGTACAACACTATATATATATATATATTTTATGTTTCATTTAATAACTTCGTATATAAAAAAAAATTATCATAAACTATAAACAAATTTGTTTTTTGTTACTTTTAATTAGCTTAATAGAGATTAACTTTTCTTAGTTTTTAATTTTATCTGAACTTTTTTTTATTAGTAGCGCTTATATTTAACATAATTGCCATTCAAACCTTTGTACCCAAGTTTAATATATAAATGTTTAAGTGGTTTTTCAAAAAATAATTATTTTATCATATAATTCAAAAGTTAAATAATGATAAAAAGTCGCTTAATGGAAATCACTTTAGGTGTATGTGAAATAGCTCTACGCATGCATAAATTGTCGCAGAGTAACCCTTTAAAACAAGTCCTGATGCTAAATGGTTTTGACAGTGAATTTCCAACCAAGACTCATTGGTATCTATTTGAAAAAATGCTGAAAATTTGAAAATTAAGTAGGTTATTTCTTATAACATACATTGTAAACTTTCTCATGAGCTTTGGGTAAGGTACAGAATCAAATGCTTTTTTGAAATCAATATATACTACATCTGTAATTAAATGGTTGTCTAGTACTGTACACCATTCATTTGTTGACTCAAGACTTGTTCAGTTAGGATCTTCTGGATAAAAAACTGTGTTGATTAGGTGTTATTATATTATTACTATTTAGATAGTCAGCAATTATTGATCTAATAATATTCTCTATGACATTTGGTGCATAAATAGATTTGGATCTATAATTATTAACATCTAAGGCAGATCCTTTTTTAAGGATGGGTAAACTAAAGCTTGAAGCAATTGTTTAGGTAGTAAGCTTGAAGTAAAACTTGATTGAATTATGAGCGAAAGTGGAAAACATATTATGTGTGCTAATTTCTTTAAAAGTATATTTGGTATACCATCAGGATCAAATGATGTGCTAGACTTTATGTTTTTAATCTCTGCTAAAATTCTACAACCTCGATGTTAGTAATTTCATTAACAAAGTTTTTGTTTTAGGCAAACAGCCATTATGTACCATGAAAACTTTTATTTGAGTAACAAAAAAACTTACTTTTTTTATTGTCTTCTACATGTTTGAGTTCCACCTTCTTGAAGTGTGTAAATACAGCTTTTTTATATTTAGATGCATATCTAAATTATGCTTTTTATATGAATAGGTTTTAGCATTGAATCACCTTTTCCATAAAAATGCTTTTTAAACTAACATTTTATAAGTATACTTTGGATAAAAATGACTTTTTTTTTGTTATGAAATAATGTTCTGATTGGAACAAAACAATCAAAACTAATACAAAGGCGATCTGAAAAAATGTTCAAATACTTATCAGTTGTAATAACAAAAGAAAACTCGTATTCCCAATTTATGTTAGATAAGTAAGAAATAAAACCATTATAAATTTTATTAGTATTTTTAAAATTGTATAATGGTGTATAGATTTTTTCAGACAGTTTATAAGTTAAGATGTTAATATAAAAGAAGACAGAGTTATAGTCACTTATACTAAATGGACTCTTAACAGTAATGTTACCTAATAGGCAAATAATATAGACAAACAAAATCAAGAATATTGTTTTCACGGGTAGATTCAAATACATATTGGTGCATTTCAAAGCTGTTAACTTAAGTTAAAAATAATAATGACATTTTTCATTTGGAGAAACATAGTTAAGCCAATCAATTTTTCTGTAAATTGATTGCTTAAATATGTTTCAGTGGTTGTATTAATATATTTTTAATTATGTTTGTATTTTGTTTACAACATGTAGTGATTTCAAAAAAAGTATTAGAAAGTTTTAAAAATGTCAAAGGAAGAAGAATTTAGAGAACATTTATGCACAAATATTTTGAAAATCCAAGTATAAACTACAATTCAATAGCAAATACATTTCTACACAGTCGTGTTATTCAACACTTTTTTTCAAACAAAATCAATCAACTAAAAATCTGGTGGTAGTAGAAAAGAGGTTTTCAAGATATAAAACTGATTGGAAAGCTGGTTAACAATTTTAAGATTAACCCAGAACTATCACTATAAGAACATGCAAAAAGATACAGAATATCTCACAGTTTTGTTATAAAAGTTCTAAACGCATTTTACCTCTCATTAAATCACATGATAGTAGACATGTGTTCTGGCCTGATTTAGCTATAATCATTATAGTAAACTGGCTATGGAATGGCATAAAAAAATTAAAGTTGTGCCTAATAGACACTAGATAATTGGTATATAGTCATAGTTTATCATGTAGTAAATTTATATAAATATAATTCTATACATACAAGTATATATAAAATATAAGTAAGCAACATTGATTCACCACTATAATTATAGTTATAAAACATAATGTATGGTTAATTAAAATTATTTGTGTTTTTTGCTTTTATTTAATAATGTTGGACTTTATTAATAATGGAATTTATAACTTATGGAATTTTTAGTTTTGGTGCCCATACAGGTCAAACAGTATGGGATTACATCTGGGTCCAGCACTGTATATATATATATATATATATATATGCAAAAAATTCAAAACCTAGTATTTTAGTATTATATAGAACAAATCAAAGTGGTAAGAACAGGTTTTTTCAAAAATGTTGTTTTAAGATGCAAAAAAAAAAAAAAAAAAAAAAAAAATTAGATTTAGGTATAGGGTAGTTTTTAGTATTAGGTAGTTTCATTGAATTTCCAATAAAATTTATAAACTTATTTTAGGGAATTTTTTGATAATACTCAAAATATTATTCTGTCAACTCAAGTTAAAATAGTTGAAAAAAAAAAATTCCTTCATACCATAACATCTATAGCATATAACATATCATAACATCTATGGCATATAACATGTTTTAATTATCATTTTACAAAACATTTATAACATTTCATTTACCAAATTTATATAAGTATTGAATGCTTGCATTATATTATTTTATAGCATTATATGGCATTTTACAAAATTCTTATTAAAATAAATACCTTTTGGATCGGTTTGACTAACAAAAGTAATTTTTGTACAAGTATCCGTTATTTTCTCTCCATAGTACCCTGATACATAAGAATGAGATCTCACAAACATTTTGCGTACTGGGATTTTCTGAAAATCATTAGCACATATCTATATATATATGTATATGTATGTATATGTATGTATGTATATGTATGTATATGTATGTATATATATATATATGTATATATATATATATATATATATATATATATATATATATATATATATATATATATATATATATATATATATATATATATATATATATATATATATATATATATATATATATAAATATATATAAAGTACAACTTTATTCCAGATTTGAAAAAGTGTAAAAAGATGACCAGAAAAAGTTTAAAAACTTAGGCCCAAACTTATGTACAGTTACTGAGCCTAAGGTTAAATAAATCAGTTGATATATACATACTCTGCTAAACCCAGTTCAAAAAATTTTCAACTTGCCTTATATTTAATTTAATTGAAATTTATTTGTTTTCAAAACAAATAAACCAAAAGGGCAGATTTTTATTTTTTTTTATTTTTAAAAGAATTTTTCGATAAACTCAATGATTATTGGTTGCCTTAGTGTACACTTAGTTTTTTGGACAGATGTTTGGCATATATTTTGCACCTGGTGCACTACATACTTTTCTTTTATACAAAGTCATAATGTATTTTATTAGCAAGTGATTCTCTAGTTGCTTTGCAATAATCTAAAATATTATTTAAAATATTTTTAAATATAATAGAGTAAAAATCATTTTAAGATATTTTATTTTCATTTATAAAAACAAGTATGTGTAAGTAATGCATTATTCTTGTAACTTAACTATTGATTAAAATAAACACACAAAATAATTTTATTTAATGGCACATGATTTTATGCACCAATGTGGATTTGAATAATGGGAAAACTTTCAAATAAATTTATTAACTCATTTTCATATTATTTTTTAATTTTTTGTAACACAAATTATTTTTAAAATTCTACCCATTATATTTTAACTATGGGTCATTCCATGTCAAATCATGGCAAAATGGGCTTATGACATCCCATGCTTTGGAGTTTGCTAATTTTTATATATGTTATAGGGTTTATGAAAACTAGGAGAATATGATTAATAAAAATTAATATGATTCTTAAATTCGCTATGTGAAAGATTGTTTATTTTCAAGTTTCAGGTCTTTACAACTTTCAACTTTCAGGTCGATACAATATTCTGTTCATTAAAATTTGATACTTAATGATAAAAAAGCATGTTGCAAAATATCAGCATAAATAAGGAAAAAGAAATTAAAATATCTCAAGAGCCTAGTATTAACCTAAATATCTCAAATTTTCCTAGTTTTCATAAGCCCTATAGCATATATAAAAATTAGCAACATTCAAAAACATAGGGTGGCGTTTTATGGCTTTTCTACTGATTTGATATGGAACAGTGCCAATGGTAGTTTTAACAAATTTTGTTCCAGTTGTACTGCTATAAAAATGCTTGTCTGCCTAGATTGGAAAAATTTAGAGGTAAAAAAAATTAAAACTCTAAAACAAAAGTATTTCAAGCAAAGTTAAAATTTTTACCATATGTTGCACTGAATGATTAAATATGCTGAACTCTTGATTTGTTTTACGCCAAGTACGCAATAAACACCAATCCCTGAACATCAGTGGGGGAGGCAATTTTGCTGCAAAAAAAGTATACCATACTAACTTTTAAAAAAATATTTATAAACAATATTAATATACATAGGAAAAAGAACTTCTTCTTTATAAATATTAGAAGAACTCCCCTCTCTGTATGTATGTATGTATGTATGTATGTATGTATGTATGTATGTATGTATGTATGTATGTATGTATGTATGTATGTATGTATGTATGTATGTATTTATGTATGCATGTATGTATGTATGTATGTATGTATGTATGTATGTATGTATGTATGTATGTATGTATGTATGTATGTATGTATGTCTGTCTGTCTGTCTGTCTGTATGTATGTATGTATGTGTGTATGTATGTATGTATGTATACATGTCAAGAGCAATAGGCCTCATCGCACAGCTTCCATCTAATGCATGACATAACCTTTTTTTTATAAAAAGCTTTTTTTTAAAAAAAATTTTTATAAAATTTTATAAAAATTTTTTATAAGTAAGTTGGATATAAAATGGGATTTAAGATTCAATGACCTTGCTAATAACATTAAGAAGACTTAGGTGATAGCTGCATATAAGTCATTTATTATTTGAAAAAAATTTTTTTTTGCAACACAACACAAAAAAAGCATCAACTTAAGAACACATCACAAAGAAAACTACAAAAGAACCCTACTCAACTAGTAGTAAACTACTCAACTAGTAGTAAACTACTCGAGTAGTAAAAGATGCAATAATAGGGTGAAATTAATGTAAAAAAAAATTTAAAAGATTAGGTTTTTTAAGAACCATATCATGGTCTTAACCACCTAAAGAAGAAGGTGAAGCTGAGCACAAGCTAGTACAGAAACAAAACAAAAATCAATAAGAAAAAGTGATTAGGAATAACTGGTAAACAAGTCATAAAGTCAATTACCTGAGTAAGAGATACATGGAAAAGACCATCAGGTATAGTGGGAATAGAACCAATCAAGTGTGATTAGCATTAAAATGACCAATAACAACAATAATGGCAAATATATAAAAAAAAGATCTCAATCAGAAATAATATCAAAAACAATGCTTTGGAAAAAATAAAGCTTTTATGGTCTAGGACAGACATAAAACGACATAAAAGTATCTGGATTCAACATGACTTAGATCGCTGTTCCAAAAGAGAATATTCTGATCCACTAGATAATTTTGAAAAAAAAAAAAGTTTTCTTCAATTGAATGGTACAATAAGGAAATTTTTAGATATCTTTTGTTAAAAATCTGTATAAGACCAAAACTAATAACTGAGTTTTGTTCTTCCTATCTTGTAGGATTTAGCAATTAAGCAATCAAGAAACATTTTCTAATTCAGCAGACCATTCTCATTACTTGAGTTTAATGAGAAATTGTTCTGTACTGCATGCAAAGCAAAATTGATTTCTGTAAAAGACAGATTAATCTACTACGAGAACTGCTCACTTTTTGGATGTAAACTGCGCAGCCTTGAAGATTCTGACTTTGACTTCTAAAAATAATTTTCTTTTCCATGTAACTTGTCACAGCTATCCAGCCCATATTAGACAACCTTCAAATGCTGCAGCTATTTTTACATATATTCTTATTATTAATAGTTTCTCTCAAACCTATTGAAAATATTTTACACAAAAATGATTTATGCAATAGAAAAAGACCAGAACAAATGAAAAACTATTTTGGATATTAGATATTATATCAGAGCAATCTTAAGATAAATTTTGTCAAAACATGTTTTAATTTATATTTATACATTAGTAAACCGAATAAAGAAAAATTATTTATTTTAAAAAATCAAAATAAAATTGTATTTAAATAGTATCTTTTCCCAGTGATAGCATCAAAATTTCCATAATTTAGTGGCAACCCTAATACATATATATACATATCAATCCTTCCTGGGAAGCGTGTTTGGTCACACGCCTTGTTTTTTACGCTTGAAGTAATTTTTTAGACAACTTAACCACATTTTTATATAGTAAGCGTTTTAAGAATTCACGGAAAAATAAAGCTATAAAAAACTAAGAATAAAACTGCAATACTCGAAGAAAAGAACTGAAGACTATACGAAATAGAAAATTTAAATAAAATAAGCTTAAAAAAAATTATACAATTTTTTTTGCAACTTTTCAGTCAGTATATTAAGGAAATTTGCACTAGAAACACAGGCTTGGTCGGGAAGCGGGAGCGATCGCTCTCGATTGCTGACCACGTAAATAATATTTAGTTGCGAAAAGCTGGCCAGATTTTTTAATCGTTTTGAGATTATTTTAAAAAGCAAAAAAAAAAAAAAAGCGACCAAGATTAATTGGACCGATGAGAGACAGTTACAAAAAAAAAAAAAAAAAAAAAAAAAAAATAGGCAAATAAAATATCTTTAAACGCAAAAAAACTTAAAGCTACATAAATTATATTTAGAACAAATATTTTCGAAACATCGCTCTTTTACAATTTTTTTTTATAAAATTAAGCGATGTTTTTTATATAAAGTAACAACTTACGATTGTTTAAAAGGGAAACAAATATTCTTTATTTAACTAAGTTTGCAAGTTTTAGTTTTACTTACGCTTAATTTATTTTATAAATAAAAAAGTTTATTTTTTTAATACCTATTTTATGTTTCGCGTAGTTTGAAAAGTTTAACATATTTAAAGCGATTCTTCTTAGTAAGATAAACAAATGAAATAATTAAATCATTGAATTACTATAGGAATTAAATTATCAAGATAGAAATCAACTAAAAAGGTTAAAAATACTTAATGACCAGGAAGCCAAACTGCTTTACAATATCGCTGATGATGTTTAGTGAGTGGGCTTTTTAATTTTAATTAGTATTTAAAGCAGCAAAAAGTATAACGAGTTTTAAGAATGGCAACTTAAGCGAAAATAATTAGAGTTAGTAAACCTATATCTAGAAACTTTTCTTTAAATCTAATTATTTGCTATATATATATTTGTGTTCTGTTGTGACCTCAGGCGCGATGTTTGTTCATCCGCGACTTACTTTGTACGCGTTGTTTGTGTTTAGTAACTATGTTTGTTATATAATTAGTTTTATTAACTTTAACGATTATAACTTCATTGAAAACGCAATCATTTTTGTAAGTCTTTGTTTAAATCATGAAAATTGCTTTAAAAGATACATTGCGATAAAAAACAAATACACAAAATTACATTTACATAAAGAATACAATCTCTTTTAAAATGAAAATAGGAATATACTAGTAAAATCTATGATTTATAATAAACTTTTACAATTTTGACAACTTAATTAATATATATTTAAAACATTTATTTTTGTAAACAAATATTAAATATTTTTAAAACAATTTATGCTAGAAATCTCAAAACGTAACAAATCGTGAATAATACAAATTCTAAAACATTTCAACAGAATACTCTATAACTTTATTTCGCTTAATCAGCGTATTTTTTGAACCAATAGAATTAGTTTGTTCGTTAATTTGGCGGGTTTTTAGTGTTCGCAAATATTTGCGCTCAAAGATGTTTTGAGAACATTCAAGTTTTTTATGTTTCCATGTATGTCCGTAAAACAAAATTTTTTTGTTTCGTACATAAACTTAAATGTTCTCAAAACGACTAAAAAACCTGGTCAGTTTTACGCAACTAAATATAATTTCCGTGGTCAGTATTCGAGAGCGATCGCTCCCGCTTCCCGACCAAGCCTGGAAACACAGACAATTTCAAATTTGTTATTCAAATGTCTTTGCTAAACTTTACTGTCTTTATATTTTTATATTAATGCATAGGAAAGCAAGAAAACTAATTGCTATTTATTTGTAATTTTTTTTTTTTAAACAAGTTTTTTATGTAAAAAAATGAAACGATGCTCCAAAATTGTTAACTTATTGAACTTTTTTAACAAAATTTTTAGTAGCCTATTTAAAAGTTTTAAAACTTTTAAAAAAAGTTTTAATTACATTTTTTTAAACAGAGCAATTGTTACGTTCATTATCTCTAGTGATTTGTTTTAACGTTGGAAATTGTGCAATATAAAAGAAATAATTTCAAAGATGCATCAAGTGTGGTAAATACATTTATTAAAGAAACTATGTTATTCTTTTATTTAACTTATTCCATCATTACAAAATTTATTAGTCAAATAAAATTTTTTACAAATATATAACAATTTATTTTTTTATTTTCCTATTAAAAAAGTATTGAGAAAAACGTCAAATATAGCAAAAACATATTTAAAAGGGAAAAGACATAAAAACGAATAAACATAAGAAAAAATAATTAACAAAACTTTTCATAGTTCTAGCGTACATAGCAAATTAGATTTTTAATTAATTAATTTAAAAACAATACAAAAATTGGATAAAATTTTATTAAAAAAAAAAAAAAAAGCAAACTGCCATGGTCAGTGTGTCTAAAAAAATTACTTTTGAACAAGGGATGAACAAGATGTGCGACAGCACACACTTCCTGGGAAGGCTTGATATATGTATGTATGTATATATATATATATATATATATATATATATATATATATATATATATATATATATATATATATATATATATATATATATATATATATATATATCAGGCCTTGTTTTAAAGCGTTACGCCTAGAGCGATTTACGTACGCCTAAAGTGCTTTTTACGTACGCGTAGAGCTGTTTTGGTTAAGCTACTTTTTATCATTTTTTAACTTTTAAATTAGCGGTAACATAAAAGAAGTAATTAATTTTCAAAAAAACCACATTAACTTTTAAATAACAATATGTAAAGGTATTTATTAAAAAAAAGTATTTACTTTAAAATTAATTGTTGTAACTTTTCATCGCGATATATCTTTACTTTTTATAGCAATTAATTTGACGCTAAACTTTTTATCCAAATATTTAGCAACATGAAAAATTGTTTGTCAATCCTTAACTACAAATTTTTTGCAATGTTTTTAATAAAAAGTAGTAAAGTTTTTAGTAAAAAACTTTTAAAAAATCTATATTCCATATTTATTAATACAGAATATAAAAGTTTTTTGTAATATA